TTTGTTTATCCAACAGTTATTAAGAATTTCAAGATGGTGACAATGAAGCATCAAGCCAAGCATGGACCCCTTTAAATGACTGCACAGGTGGCAGGCCCATGAATCTGGTCCTTATAGAGGCCACCGCCTCCAGGAAGCACTTCCTGATTCCCCATTCCAGACATGTCAGTATTATATGCTCCAGTGGTTTCTTCCTCACCGACCTGTCTCCGCATCAGGCTGGGCTGTATGCAGGGTGGTGTGGAGCGGAGGGCACAGTGCGGGCTCTCTCCAGGCCAGGATTCAGGAGGCCTTCTCGTCAGTGACTCCATCACGGAGGAGCCCATGCAATGGAAAACTCTGCCTGGGAACAGCCTTCTACTAAAATCTAAGTCCAGTTCCCTGACTTACGGGGCCCCACACAAACACATGGCCTCAGGCTTTCCCAACCTAGACACCCACCCCTGCCCTTGCTCTGTCTTGTGAACCCACCAATCAATGTGGTCACATCTAGCCAAAACGTTCAACTCTGCAAAGCCTCTTGGAGGCCTGCTTGAGCCCATGGAGGGCGCGATGCTAGGCGGAACATGGAGGAGGTTCCTCAGGGAGCCTGTGACCTGGGGCAGGGAAGTGGGGACAGAGTGGGCATGAACTCCATGCCAGGAGAGAAAACAGGAGGAGAGGATTTCTTGGCAGGGGAGCTGGCAAGAGATCTTAGATGAGAAACGGGAGGGTGGGAAGGACTGGGATGGAGCTGCGGGTCCAGCATGGCAGAGGAAGTGCAAATGGCCTTGTGGGGCAGCATCATAGGCCGTGGGGAGGCCGTGGGGAGGCCGGAAAGGGAGCCTGGACAGGCCGTGATTGTGGGAGATAGGGTGGGGCTGGGAAGCCTGGGGGGCTTTTCTGTTGTCAGGAACCTTTGGCTGCAAGAGATGGGAAACCCACTCGGACTTTTTCCAGCTGCCTTTGAGTCAGGCCCCACCCATGAGGACACCACACACAGGGCCCAGAATGCTGCCCGTCCCCACCGTCGGTGCCTGGACCCGCGATCCACGCAGTTCTCATTGGCTGAGATTTGTATCATGAGGCCTTTCTTCCCATTGTGAACCAGCTCAGGCAGAAAGTGCATTGCCCCATGAGATTAGTGCCCAGAAGGAAATCTTTGTTGGTGACCAGGGCTGGGGGGGGAGGGGAGGGCGCACTGTTAGACAGGTGGAGATGAGTACTGGTTTGGCTGAAGAGAAGGGCAGTGTAGATCACCACGGTGGCACTGAGGAAGAGGAAGACATAGAGAGGTGCATGGCAGATACAGACAACAAAGATGAACCCTTTTGCACACACAGCACTGCATTGTCAGGGAAGGCAAACACTGATCTATGGGTGCACAGATGGGTGACAGGCTGAACAACTGGGTATGTCTAGGCAGGGGGAGTGTGCCCATGACCATGTATAAGGCTGGCAGACAATGCTTGTACAAGTGCAATTGTATGTTCTGTAAGAATTCCCAGGTAAATAGTAGAGCTGACAAAGGACAAGGTTGTAGTCACTTCTTGGTCACGGCCAGCTACCCAGAGGGCATGAGTAGTTGGACCTGTGGGCTTGGGACCATATTCGCAGGGGACATCAAGCATAACATATTACAAAAAAACATTGTTCCACATCCTGCTTTGGCGAGTAGCGACTGGGATCTTAAAAGCTTGCAAGTGGCCATCTAGATGCGATGACGGGTCTCTCCTTGTCCAGAACAAAGAAGAATGAAGAAACCCAAGGATGCATGGAAACAATTAGTCTAAGGAACTGGTACACCATGCGATCCTCAGCCTATACAATTATGAGACCAGAAGAACTAGATGGTGCCTGGCTACCACTGTCAACCACTTGGAGGGGGATCTATGTAGGAGATCTTGGATAGAGTGAGAGAACAATGTGGAATAAAACTCAAAATCATTTGGGAAAAAAAAAAAAAGGGACCAGGTTTGCTGGTCTGATAGAGCCTGGTGCAACCCCTGAGACTACGGCCCCTAGTTACTCTTCAGGTCTGGAAGTAAACTCACTCCTGTGGCTTCCAGCCAAACAAAAGACAGGCATATGAGCTGAACATTTACACTAGGTAGATACACTCCTTGGAGAGATCAATCATGGGAGAATAGAAGGTCTGTGTGTGCACAGGGAGACAGCTCGGGGGGGCAGGAGTGCATGGAGGGAAGGACACAGGGAAGAGGTAACTATGAGGAGGAAGTGGGAGGCGAGCTGTTGCATTGTGGGAGACTGCAGTCAATGTCACGGGACAAAGGGCATGTGAGCTGCTGTATGGAAGATGAATTTGCTCTGTAAACTTTCTCCCAAATCACAATAAAATTTAAAGAAAAAAAAAAAAAAAAGAGATGTTAGTGTCCAGAGACTCCAGGGAGGCCTGAGAAGGCCCAGAGTGCCGCTGTCCTTGGGAGCAGGTAACCAGTGGCTCAGACACCATCAGGACATCTCCTGACCTGGCTTTACTCTGCCTTGCTTCAGCTCTTTTTTTTTTCTGACTTCCCTCCACATGGAGGAATTCTGGGGAAGGGGGTTTACTGACCCAGCTGGGGTCAGGTTCCCGCCCTTGCACAATCCCCTGTGGCCAGAAGTCAGGGTCACAGCAGCACAGGGCTGTTGTCAGCAGAAGTCGGGGGAAGCAAGTTCCTGGAAGGGCCACCCCTTCTGCTGAGCAGGCAGCCGGGAGGAGGCTCCTGGGTTTCTGGGCAGAGGAACAGGGCCTGTCCGGACCTGCATCGCAGCAAGATAGGCATTAAAGACGACAGCTTTTCCCCTTTTATTCATAAAAACAAATTTGCAACAATTTATTAAAAATTGATACCATGCAGTAGGGGTAGAGAAAGTCCTCATTTACGTCTGATTCTGGCAGTTCCAGTCTAAGTTAAAGCGCTGGGCACCAACGCCACTTGGAAAATGCCTTCAGGCCGCAGCCTGTCCCGAAATGTACGGTGTGTGTTTGCCGTATGAAAGAACCATTAAAGAGCTAGAGTCACTTCTGTGGGTCTTGTTATTTGTGGGGAAATGAAAAAAAAAGGGTGAACCTACAGTATCAGTAAGACAGAGGATGTACTTCGTGGGTTAGCCTAGAAGACTGTGCACGTTCAGAAGTCACTAAGGGTCACAGACGCACACACGCATCTCCGACAGTCCAACACTTTTGAGGGGCTTCCCCCCACTATTGCCGGGATAATATTTCTACAGGTATTTTGTGTGTGTATGTGTATACGTTTTGTGTGTATACGTGTGTACATTATGTACAGTTAATTGCCTCTTTCCCTTTGAAAATTTAACGTGGTCCTTGAAATTAAATCTGGTTTTGGGGAGATCCAGAAAGCAAGTAAATACTGGTCACACACAGTGAGTGACAACACCGATGTTTAGTGCCTAAAAACAGAGATGGATTGCAACTTGACCTGTGATGTGTTAACAATGTTTTTTTTCCCCTAAAGGCTACAGTACCTCCATAAGCGCTCTCGGGGGAGAGGGGGGATGCTATTCTACGTGCAATAGGGTGTTATGAAATGTTGGTGATGGTAAGATCCCAGTGGGCCCTTTGTCAAAGCCTGGTGACAACAGTATATCCCTGACTGCAGTGGTTCTGGGAAGAGATTATTGCCTGCCCGTTGCAGCTGCCTGTAGGGGTCTTTAGGGGGTGAGCCAACGGCTCAATTGTGTAGACGTCCTGGAAGTCATCATTCAGGCCTTTCTTCAGCAAGGAATGGACCTGTCTAGGGAGTGTCGGGGAAAACCAGCCCCAGAGGGCGCCAAGCCCCAGAGGGCACCAAGCCCCAGAGGGCATGGTCTGGGTGGAGGGCTGGGCTGGGAGCTGCTTTCTCTGGGCCCCACCCTGCTGTGCTAAGGGCTGAAGGTCATGTCACAAGAATGCCTCACAGGTCAGGGCCACCTCATTGTTTGGTGGAGCTTTCCTGGATGAGATCAAGTTTTGATCTTCAGAGTGACCCTGTGAGGTAGGCAGGACAGGTGTTATTTCAACCCCATTTTGTTAGGGGGGGAAACTGAGGCTCAGAGACACACATGTGACTCGCCCAAGGTCCCACAGGGAGTCAGCAGTGGAATGAGAACTTGAAGCCATGTCTGTCTGACTCCCAGGCCACTGCTCTTTGGGGTGAAAAGGGAAAAGCCATCTTTCTGAATGAGAATCACTGTGCTGAGTGGTGGCCCCTAGAAGTCCCCAAGGTGAGAGCTTGCTGGCCTGTTTGGATGGAAGGTCACCTTCTGGAAGCCCCGGGAAGCCTCAGCCAGCAGCCCTCTCCCTTGTGACTACAAGGATGTCTTTGTGCAGAACGCCCCCTCCCCCCAATTCACTTTGGTCAGAAACAAAGTCAGTGGGAAATAAACTGCCAGGCAGCCCTTGGGCCCCGGTGAGAGAGGTCAAAGTGCACAGTCTTTCTTTACCAAGGTAGGTGGGAACAGACATTCCATGACCAGCTCGGGTGGTCCCACTTATTACCGGGAACACCTGCTGTGAACACAGGACATGGCCAACATGGTGGGTGCATGACAGACTGGCGGTGAACGCTGCAGCGCGTGTCCACACAGTGATGTGCCCTAAATCCCCACGGTCCCAGAACGGGTGTTATTGTGTTAATGGGTGGCATTTATCAGAGAGTAACAAACATCTCATCTGGGTGGAGGGCCCACCGGGGGGCCTGCGGGTGCTTGCTCCAGCAGCCCGGCCCTCAGCCTGCACGCCCCAGGCTGTGCCTGTCTGCCCGTCCTGCAGACTCCTGTGCCAGGAAGGCAGGGGTCGGCTGGGCTGGCCGCCGGGGGCCTGCTGCCCAGTCCGTCTCCTCCTCCAGACGGAGGGCTGGCCTGGTGGTCCACAGCCAGGGATGTGTGTGCAGAGCACAGCGGTGGTTCTTCCAGAAGCCCTTCGTGGCTTCCAAGGCTGCGCGGGCCTCTCTACGCTGTGACTTCTGGCCGGAGTGCTAAGGCCTCCCTCGTCTGGAAAATCTTATTTCTGCGAGTTTCAAATGGGCCCGCTCCTCCTTGCGTGCAGAAGTTAAGGAAGAGGTCACTTCCGTTCCTCTTTGTGAAAGAACAAAAACTTCACAAATAAGGCTTGAGGTCAGGTGCCAAGTCCCACCCCCTGCTGTCCACCTGAGCGCCCTCTGAGCAGTCCCGCGAGGCCAGCCATGTGCCCAGCTCTCTGCAGCCAGAGCCGCCAGGGTTCCTGCAGCGGACGCCTCCGCTCGGGGTGGTTCTGTCATGGGGGAGGCCCCGGCCCCAGGCCCCCTGCCTTTACAGGCCCGAGACCATAACTCGGAAGGAGGGTGGCACATGTCTGTGGCGGGGGCTGGCGGTGGGGCTGACACAAGGGCTGACGCAGCTGGCGTCCACGCCTCCAATGGACGGGAGGTAGGCGTGGTGGAGGATAGGGAGCTGGAGGGACAGTCGGCGCTGGATGCTGTGGATGGAGAGAGGTGGCGGGGTGGGGAGAGAGAGAGAGAGAGAGAGAGAGAGAGAGAGAGAGAGAGTTAGTTGACGCTATCTGGCTGCTTACCAGAAAGTCTGTGGACTCACTCTGGCCAAAAAGCTGATGGTGCGTGCAGACTTCTCCCTGAATCCAAGATCTAGCCACACAATCATCTAACCGTTCAGCCACCTTGCGGGTATATAGTGAGGGCTTACACGTGCCAGCCAGGGCCCTGGCAATCACCCGGGAGACATCACCAAGCAAGAAAGATGCAGACTTCTTGAGCTTCAGGATTTGGAGGGATTCTAACTGCCCTGACAGTATGAGAACAAGGCCTCCCTACAAAGGCATTTCTCATTCTTCCTCCAGTCTCCAAATCAACGTGGCTTTCAGTTCCAACCTGAAGGCTGTCAGAGCTCCTCCATCCTTCCTCACTGACCCCACTACCTCCTTCCTGGTCTCTTGGCGTCTTTAGTGACCAGCGGTGTCTTTCCAACACTGCAAAGCCCCTTCTGTGGCTTCTTACCACCTACTTTTAGGAAAGAGGAAACTCACTGAGGTGACATTCAGGGCTCTCTAAGGTCTGTCTTCACCAAACTGTCAGGTGAGTCTTCTATCCCCACCAGCCCCTCCCTCCAAGCCCTTCCCTATGGCAGCCCGGTTCGGCTGTTGTTGGTTGCCAGTGAGTCAATTGTCCCATGAGCACCCATGTGTACAAAGAAGAACTGTTGTATAGGGTCTTTAAGACCGTGACTTTTAGGAAGCAGAGGGCCAGGCGTATCTCCCAAAGCACCTGTAGCTGGGTTCAAATCGCCAGCCTTGCAGCTGGTAGTTGAGCGCTTAGCTGTTTGCAGCACCAGGGACTCCCTCTGGCAGTTTCCCGAGAGCACCGCCCACATGCACTTTGGCACATCCTGTTTCCCTGCCCAGAGGACCCGGTCTCTGTTTCCCGACCTAAGCACCGTTCTGCCTCCAAGATCCAGTTTAAATGGCATTCCTTTGTGCCGAGTCCTTCAGGGAGAGAGCCCCTTCCTTCTGCAGGCCTCCAGCACCCTGTCAGTGACCCAGAGACGAAGACGGGGGTGGGCACGCATGCGGACTGGGAAAGGAACAGGAGGTCTGCACACGACGTTCATAGCCGCACGGTTCACAGTGGCCGGAAGGTGGAGAGAACGTAAACGTCCGTCAGCAGACGAGTGATAAACATAACATGGAAGGTACCTACGATGGAAAACAACTCGACCAGAATGAGCAACGAAGCCCTGATGTGTGCTACGACATGGAGAAGCCCGGAAAACCTCGTGCTGAGTGAAATAAGTCAGTCACAAAAGGGCAGATACTGGATGAACTCATTGACACAAAACAGGCAAATGCATGGAGACCAAAGTTTATTAGAGGTTACCAGAAGGTCGGCCACCCCACTGAAGGAAGATGGGGCAATCTACTTCTGTAAAGATTTACAGTCTCTGATTAGGACTCTCATACACTGCTGGTGGGACTGTAAAATGATACAACCACTGTGGAAAACAGTATGGCAATTCCTTAAAAAGTTGGAATTAGAAATACCATTTGATCCAGCAATCCTATTACTCTGTATATATCCTAAAAAAGTGAGAGCCAGGACAAGAA